TAGTTTCTTTCTTTTAGATTGTTAAATTTATCTTGATGACTGTTCGTATTACTTCATAACCTTTATTATAGCAATCAAGGATATTCTAACTTAGAAGCGTCGATAACGACTTCTTTGTATTCTGGTGCTGATGCAGATTCCACATCTGCCAGAAGTCGATCGTTGATTTGACGACCAGATAGGTACTGTCACCAGTTGTCAAATATTCTTGAGGAGTTTTATCTATAATATTCAACATGATATTTAGTGATAATTTAAATTCTAATCATTTTTCGGCAAAAGAAAAACTTATGAGAGAGTGTCAGCAGTCAAGAGGAAAAGTGCGACTGTGTTACTTCGAAATATTGAAGTCACACTTTTTCTCCTTTGGTTAGCAATTCATCTATTTGAAAGAACATTGAATTCCTCTGCATCAAATATAAGTGAAGTATTATGAAATGCTAACTGGTAGAGTCGCGCTTCTTTTTCTTAAACACATCCATTTATCAACATCGACTTCTCATAAATTATATTGAAATGTCAGTTGATGCCAAGAATAAGATTGACATATACAATAAGACTGTTCGTTTACAATAAATATTGTTTTTCTTGTTTTCAAAGTAGAGAATACAAAAAGAAAAAAAAGTTAGTTATATTGATCTCTTTTGAGCTAAACACAAATAACTACCTAATCACAATGGCCACGTAACCGGGCTGCGCGTTTTATTTTCTCTGTCATGAGATCCACACACACACAAAACAATGTACAATAAAGAGAAAAAAAAGAGACAGAATAGAAGAAAAAAAGAATAGTAATAATAGCAGCTATCTAAATTATTATCGTGCTGATGACGGAACAACTTGTGTAGTTAGTCCACTTGTACTTGTCACCGTTAAATTCTGATGTAAATGTAAGTTCATTCCTAATACTGATCGAACATCACGACAAAATCTTAATGCATCAAGAAATGGAAGTAAGGCTAGTAAACATGTGTCTGTTGCATCAAAAAACCATGACTTAACTAAAGAAAGAAGACAAAATAACAATTTGTCAGAAATTTTAAATGAGAATTCATTGCTTACTAGGTATAGCATTTAATGGATAGGAACGATAAGCAATAGGACTATTGTCTAAAATAAATATCCGTGAAAGATCATTATTAACAACAGCTAAATCTTTTGAATATGCGCCAAATTCAAGTGTACAATGCTGTCGAAAATATCGTCGTGAAAGAATATTTCGATTATTATCTAATCTTTCAGTTACAGCTGCACCATAAATTTCCATAGATGCTGTAAATACAACAAGATCATACCATTGACTCACCTAAAATACAAAATGATAAATCTCTTTCTTTACTTTTTTTCTTTTTGTTATTTCTTTACTGTTTCAAGAAAATAATCCACATGTGGTCGTTTATAAACAAAAAATCGAACTGGATGTCGTTCAATTTCAACACGAACCATAAAATCAGGTGGTCCTGTTGGTTTAACAGTAACAACCCGTGAAAGACCATCGTGATGTGAATGTATTAATGTTTCATCCAAATCTAATACTAAGATTTTTTTAGGAAGAAAATCTATAAAAGACAAAGATATGTATAGTTAGGGAAAAATTTAACACATACGTAATCTATGAAGAGATAATGGTTGAAGAGGACAATTATAATATTTAACAGATTGAAATTGAATAAGCTAAAACAAAAACAAGATTTAATTACAAAAATGACCTTTTTTATCTAATACTTTTTTCTTTGACCCACGCAAAGTAACAAATATAAATGTCCAAACACCAAAAAAAAATCTTAATAATCGTTTAAACATTAACAAAAAATAAAAGAAGATTTTTGTATTTATTAAATAGATATAGTCAAATGCACGTAGAAATAAACGAAACATGCTTATTGTATTCTTTCCACTATTTGAATTTAAATGATTATTTTGAGTAAGTAATCCTTGTTGCTGTTGAACTCGAATGACTGCAGATGATGGCATTAGAATATATAAAGTTTTTATTTAAACAGTAAACATTATTGTGTTTAATTGCAAAAATAGAAAAATAAGAATGAACTTGACGAAAAATACAAAATATAGTACAGCTGAGAGACTAGTTAAATTAACCAATGGAAACTTAAGAAAATTGAATGGAGGTCACCATATGACAATCAATGGTAAACAGGATACCAATGAAAAAGATGAAGATAAAACCACATGAACAAAAGGATAGAATGGATTTGAGGATGCCGCCTTTCTTCATTAATTATATAATCAGATTTAAGCTTCAATCCTCGTCAAGTTTTCAGCAATTTCTTTACGAATAAAATAATTTTTACACTATTATATACAAAGTAAATTTGAATACCTGCTAAGTGAACATGTAATTGAATGCACCATATGGATAGATGAACGAATATTTAAAAGAACAAAAGTATAAATTCACATCTGCTGCAACAATTGTGAATAAATTAGCCATGGCATCTAAAAGTAAATTTTTCTTCTTTTTCTTTTCTTCTAGATGACTTCTTCACCTTCACCATCTCATTGGGTTGAATCTCTTTTTCCTCCTCAATATTCTATTCGTGATTATCGCGCTACATTTCAACCTGATCATCCACGTATACGCCGTTATATTACAACATTATCAACATTTGATGCTCCAACATTAGCAGCAATTTATGAACAATCTTATTTATTTACTCTCATTCAACGTTTAGCTAAACAAGAAGAAGATGAAAAAATCAAAAGTAAGACAAAAACAAAAGCTAATCAAACCGAACCCGTTGATTCTGTACTTGATATTCGTCTTATTCGAGCATTTCTTGAAAAGCATAAAGAACAGGAAGAAAAAATTGATCAAACTGAAAATCTTTGGACATCCGATGAAATTTCTATTATTCGTTCAGCTTATATGAAAGTTCGTGATGATTGTTTACGTTTAAAATCTGAAAATGATTATTATCGAGAACAACTTGAAATTTTCAAAAATAAATTTAATGAAACAACGCAAATGCTAGAAAAACTTCAGGAAGAACATTTATCTCTGAAAAAAACTCATACACGTTGGACCATACGAACAAATTCATCAGAACAACTTCTTGATGAACAACGCCAAGAAAATAAAGAACTTATTGAACATATTGAAAAATTAACTGAACAAAATGAATTTTATCGTCGTAATCATTTGCAAATGCAAACTGATTTATTTGAAAAACAATCACGTATTGAACAACTGGAAAAAAGAATTGATCATTATGATCAGACAATAAAGCGTGAATGTGATCGACGTATTGGTTTAGTTGAAAAACGTGCTCAAGTGGATAAAGATCGATTTCACATTGAAAATACTAATTTACAAACGAAACTAGATAAAGAACAAGATTTACGAAGACAAAATTTACTTGCATTAGATCAATTAAGAAAACATATTGCTTTAGCCAATCCAGGAGAGAATGAACAATCTTTATGTGATATTAAACAGGTCAAATATGTTTGAAAATTTCCTTTTTGTGTTTCTAATCATATACAATAAAAAAGAAAAACTGTTTTTCAATGTATTTTGTTAACTTGAAAATTTTCATTTTTCCTTTTGGATCCAAAACTTGCAATGGAAGTTTTAAAAATAAATTCAAGTTTATCGAAAATACATTGAGAAATCGTTGTAGATTTCTTCATTGTATATTGATGAATAATTTTCGATTTTATTGATCGAAATAATCATACATATGTATACAACACTTTTGGTTTTATGATATTTTTTATCGTTAAATAGATAAATTATATAAATGTCTGTACACACTTGATTTTGATGTTCTATTTCAAACAAACGCCTTCATTCTTTACTTTTTCTCATCTAGCATGTTTTTTTTTCTAGTAATGTGATTAATAGACAATTGTATGGTGTCATTTTCTATATAAATGAAGTGAATGAAATCCAGAAATACTATTGAAAATATAACTCATAATAATGCCATATAATATTCTTTTTAGATAATGACACAAACTTCAAATAATCCGATTGGTAGTAATTATGCAAATACAACAATCAAATGTGTTTGTGTAGGTGATGGTTGTGTCGGTAAAACATCAATGCTCATATCATATACTACAAATACATTTCCACAGTCGTATGTACCGACAGTATTTGATAATTATTCTGTTACTCTAATGATTAATAATGAACCATATACACTAGCTCTATTTGATACTGCTGGTCAAAGTGGTGAGATTTTTTTTAAGGAAGATTATAATATTTATCTTTCTAGTTTTGTCTTGTTCAAGGCTTTGAATTAATGCGTGCATTTTCCTATGCAAATACTGATGTATTTCTTGTTTGCTTCAGTGTTATGTCTCCAGCATCATTTAATAATGCTCTTAAAGTTTGGATTAATGAAATACGTCAATCATCATCATCACCTCGTATGCCACCATTTGTTCTTGTTGGAACAAAAATTGATCTTCGTACAAATCTAGCCGATATAGAATTATTAGCTAAATCAAAACAAAAACCAATAACACGTGAACAAGGTGAACGTGCAGCAAAAGAATATGGTGCATATGGATATATTGAATGCTCAGCATTAACACAAGAAAATCTTAAAGAAACATTTGATGTTGCTATATTAGCTGCACTTACTCCATTACCTTCTAAACGTGTTAGAATATTATGTTGTTGTTCGTAAATTTTAATTCAGATAACAGTGATATCAAGTATAAAAGTATTGATCTTATGTGCATCTCCTGTTGGATAGTATTTATGTATTTGTCTCGAAGTTTTTTTTTTTTCTAAATATAATACTCATTTCTTTTATTTATTCTGTATACTCGACATGATTTTCTTTTTTCTCTTTTTGTTGTCAGTTTTTTGTTTTATACATTCTTTTTAAAAATATACGTATATATTCTTTACAAAAATAATATTTAGTCTCAATATTAATATTTTTATTTTCACGCTTGAAAGAACACAAATATATAGTATCTACAGGTAGAAAAAAACATGATATTTCAATCACTTCCAGTCAAACATGGGACATAAACAATCTACTGCATCAAACTTGACCTTTGATGATTTCGCATTTGGTACGGCTCCAAATGCTGTACAAATTGAGGATGTTATTGAAGCAACACAGCAAATACCTGGAAAACTTTTTGGTGCCAAAATGATTGAAAATGACCCATCAATGCATAAAATGCAGCAAGATCTTTTATCATTTGATGATACACTTCGACGAATTTTTCGACGAAAAAAACATAAACGTTCAAAAAAAGAAGACACTTCAAATGAGTCTTATCAAGACGAACAATATTATGAGTATGATCAAGGATATTATGATCAAGATGGACAATATTATACTGATAGTCAAGAATATTTTGATCAAAAACAAGAACCAATACCTGAAGAAGATGAAGATCATCTTTCATCTAATTATGCCGGTNACATCTTTCGTTTGCTGCTCATAATGCTAGAATTAAAAACAATATCAAAACCAATATTATATTGAACCTTAGTCACGACTTGCTGGTTGACCACGAACATATGTAAAAAAAAATGGTCATGCTTGGTTGGTTATTTGTTGCTGAGGGCGGCTTGTTCTTTCATCTGTCTTCTTCAATCCCCTTGTTAGCAATGTTCTCTTATCACGTTCCCTATACCTCCTCCCTTTTGATCTTTTCATCTCTTTGATGTTGTCTTCTATTTCTTGAGGAAACGATTAAGAATGTAGATGTTACACTCGTGTACATTTCTCATTACTATGGCAATGAAAAATGAAAAGATAAGATATGTCTCAATAGAAGACAGCAATTTAGTTCACAACAAAAACGTTTGTTTAACTACGTTTTGTTTTCAAATGCCAAATCACTTTTAAGTTGAGACTACGCATATCATGTAGATTCTCATGAGCTATGAGTACGCTGAAAAGTGGTCGAACTATTAGCTTATTAGTGCCAAGTGACTATTTATACCACATTTTTTAGGAGTATGTCGTAGTCTTCCTTCAAAACACCATGAAAATTGAATTTCGACTTGAAACGTTGCTGAAAATAGTTTATTGTAAACGTTTTAGATCTTTTTTGATGGCTTCTATCCTAAGATACGGTTATAGTAAAAGCATATTTTTCACGCCACGAATATAGTTCGGCTAATTTCAATGTTCTTATATCAGAATAGGCACAATCAAAAAACCTTAAACTTTCACAGTAAGCTATTCTCATTAAGACCTGTCACTATGCTCATTTTCAAGTCGAAATCCAACACTCAGATTTTCTGATGTTTCAGAGGGATATCATGGCATTCTGCTTAAAAATACAATATCTTGGCAGCAATATACTATCAGCTCAAGTGCTTTTCAACGTATTCATAGGTCATTATAACTTACATAATGCACATAATTCCTACTCAAAATCGATTGGACACTTAGAAACATTCCCTTGTTATCTGCTATCTATTCAAATATATCTTATATTTTTATTCTTGATTTTTCAATAATAATGAACACACGTGTAGTTTCTTTATCTTGTCATCATCAATTATTTCTTCAAAGAATAGAAGACAACAAGACAACATCAGAGAGATGAAAAGATCAAAAGGGAGGAGGAAAAGACAATGTCATAAGCGATTAGTTTCTATCTTAACAAGACGATTGAGAAAAGTAAGTGAAAGAAGGAGGCATCCTTGACAAAAAATACGCTAGCATGATCACTTTTTATGATCTATTAAGGAAACTGATCGTATAGTAAAATCAAGATAAGATTTATTATGTCAAAAAGAAATTCATTAATGAAACATATAAGAGTATCCACAATTTTTTACGTTCAGGGTACAGGTGTGGTTAAAAAGAAGATCCACATCTTAATGTCTATTCTTAAACCGTGCTATCTACACTAATCATCTTACTATATCTATTTTTGCGTGTTTTAATAATGTGGTCATTTTTTTTTCTCTCTCCTACCACATTCCACATTGAGGACATTTTCTAATGGGCAATTAATTTTGTCTCTCCATCCCTAATTCAAATCTACGAGCATTTTTTTCCTCTAATTAAGAAAAATTGTACACAATTAAGAAGACATACAACCAGCAAACCGTGAATAAGGTTCATTATGAACATAAAAGAAATTGTCGTTTTTTCTTTATCATTTGCATCATTAACAAAGCTTATTTTTCAGACAGGATAGAATTATTTTTGTATAAAATCATAATTTGGAATATGAAAAATTTCATCGGATAATCTTAAACGACTGAGTATATAATTATAAAAAGTTTTATTTTATTTAAGTATTCCAATCACCAACTGTTACATTAAACACATGGACTAATCGAAATCATATTTCAACACGTTATGTTTTACTCAATGAACAATTTCAATCAACATCATCAAAGTATCCTCGTATCCTTTTTTATTATCGTCTTTATCTCGGTCATGATTTATATTTTGATGGACATGCTTATACACATCAACAAGCTCGTACTAATTGTGCACTTAATGCTTTATATTTCTTACGTCAACATCAAATACCATCATCTATATCTAAAAAAAATCATCAAACAAAATCTGATATATCACTTATGTATGAACATGCTAAACAACTTGGTCTTTCTGTTCAGATGAAATTTGATGATCCATTTACTGTTACATATCACATTGGTGAAAATTATTCAACAACTGGTACAGGTTATAATAAACAATCAGCTAAACAATTAGCTGCAAAAAAAATGTTAGAGATTTTACCATTAAATAATATTCAACAAAATCTTAATCCGATTACACGTATTTATCAATTAGCTCAACAACGACAAGTTAAAATTGAATTTGTACAATTATTTAATAAAGAAAATTTTACTTTTCAAATCAAATTTGGTAATAATGACATAGCTGAAGGTTATGGTAAAACAAAACAAATGGCTAAGAATTCTGCTGCTGAAGCTTTACTTGAGAAATTAGATCCAGTTGTTATTTTACCACCACCACCAATTAAAGGTTTACTTAAACGCGATGGAAATATGGATAATATAAATAAACACGAAAAAAAACATGTACATTTTGTTGAAGAAATTATTGAGAAAGATGAACAAACATCGTCTTGTCAATCAACACCAACAATTTCAAATTCATATAAACAAAAATTAATTGAAGCTTGTCAAAAATTAAATATTCATGTTGAATATTTCGATAAAATGGTTAGAAAAAAAAAAAGAAATTTTATTCTTATAAAAATTTGTATAATTTTAGAACGAAAATGAGAATACCGGTAGTTCACGATATCAATCAATAGTTAGTTTATCAATTGATGATCGTCTTCTTGGACAATTTCGTGGTCATGGTCCATCATTAATACGTGCACAAGAAAATGCTTCATCAGCTATTTGGAATAATTTAAAACAATTATTTAATGGATCTGTTCAGATACCAAAATCGATAAGAAGCGAGAAAAACTATCGACAAATTTTCATTCAAGAATAATAGAGAACTTGTTTATTGTGATATTTATCTTTTCATTTTCTGTATTTGTTTTGTTCACAGTTTCGAAAAAAGATGTTTGAATGACTGTGTATGTAATAGAAAAAAAAAAAAGAAAACTCGACAGATTCTTATTGTTTGTTGTTTCTGCTTTTTGATGATTCATATATTTATTCTTTACGTTTTTAAATATAAAAACTGAAGTTGAAAAAAGATTTCATATTTTTCTACCTTATCTTTTTTTTCAAACAGCATTGAGTAAATATAGGAAGAGTTTACTGAGTATAAAAAGTAAAGATTGCAAGTTAATAAAGTTTTTAGAGAATCAAAAGCAAATGAGGATTGAATAAATATTTAGAAAACGAAAGCCATTAGGAATGTGGGGTTATCAGCATTTAAATGAGGAGAGCTTAATACGTGTTTTTATATAGAGTACGTCATTTTAAAAATATGTAACGAGTACGAAAGAATAAATGGTGGTCTCACGATTTTCACTGACTACTGAATTATTTCTCGCGGATATGTGGATGTCGATGTGAATAAGAATCTTTTTTAATTCCTCATTCACATCCTCACACCTCACAATGAAAATGATTATATTGGTCACATGGAGTATACCGTTTTGTAGAGAATCGAAAGAGAAATTTTTGGAAGGAAAAAAAGAATAGTCTCGATAGAATGAAATCTGAAAAACTACGGCCAAAATAATAAGACTACCATTTATATTGCCGCATCTGTTATAATCATTTTTATATAGATATCATATAGGTAAACCTTGGATTTACATTTTCAGACACCATGCACATGACTATAAAGTTGCTTTCAAAAACTATTCTTTTAAATAATCTTACAAAGAATAATACAATTCAGTATATCAATGTTTTTACATTTAGAAAACCTTTGAATAGATATATAAACAATTGATAGCAGTTGGCTTTCAAATCAATAGATCGCTAGTTATCACTGTTCTCATTTAATTAATAATCACTACTATTCAATTCTGGCATTGATGCTAAAATTGCAGAGACCAATATTTTATTGATACAGAATAATTATAAACAAATAAAGCATCATTTTGAAAAAGAACCAACGAGATTTTTGTCGACAGTGAAAAAATTACATAAAACATAGATTAGCCCTTTTTTTGGGTTTACTGATGTTATCATGCTTTCAAATTGATTAGTCATTTCATTCAAAATTATTTTATTTAAACATAATTAACAATCCAACTATCAAGCTCCTGAGATTCAAGTTAATTGAATTATGGCAATGATTGTCGACGTTAATATTCGTCGACAAGCACAACATTTATTAAGTGATGATATATTTGATTCGATTCAGCAGCAGAATAATGAACGATCGATTACGGCTAGAAAATTTTGAATAGTGCTGGAAAGGTGAGTGTGAGAGAAAAGAATATCAAAACTCACACCCAAAATTCTCCTATTTAATTATGAATATGTAACATTAGACATGACGATGATTTTGCCAATGGACTACTATGACGTATTCAAAAATTAATAGAGTCAGGCAATGAGAACTTTTTTTCTTTTACAGATATGAAGAATTTCGATTTGAAATTTTGTGCTTCAGATAGATCTAATAGTTATTAAAGTTTTCCAAAACATTTCAATGAAAATATATCATACTCAAGTCCATTCGAAAATTGAATTGCTTAAGAAACATATGTTGTAGGCAAAATTAGACAGCAACTAGGTATAAACTAATAAAATCAAGTGCTTTATTAAAGGTACGGTTAAATGAAATAAAAAGAAAAAACTTTAATTATAGCGGTTGTGTCGATAAGAGGTATATATATAGATGTACGCGTTACAATCTAATAAAAAAATGTCTGAGTCGCACATTCAACAATCGATTTCACGTCTAATTATAAAGACAAATGTGCTAAAAAATTATGTTCATGTAAAAATGTGGAGACTGGTATTCGACAAACTATTACTCAAAAGTAAATGATTGTAGAAATATGATTGAACAAACTAAAATGTTTTATCTTGTAGATTATTTAACGAAATGAAAAGATATTGTTGAATTTTAAAAAATTGTTATTGTTTTCAGATTTTAACTTTATTAATTTATCTCTATTTGTATTTCAATTTTGCTTAGACAAAATTGGAATTTCAGTTCTGACTGATGACTATTTAGTGTTAATATTAAAATTCTAATTTTGTTTACAACACATATATTCATTTTCGTTGAAACTATTAAGATGCTTTGATGATAATTAGAACCATCGATAGATGACTTTTGTTTTCCAAAATTCCTTACTATAAGTAAGAAATTTGATAAAACAGCTTTAACTGTTTATAAAGTGTATGAACTGGAATTATGTTCAAAATTCTTGTTGAAGTCATAGAAATTCTAACTTTGGTCATCATGAAAGAATATTCTCCTTAAAAAATTGTGGAAAGAATTTTAGTGTACGCTATTAAACGCTTTCTCTCAATTACTCAATGAAACTATGCATACTTGATATAATCTAATTTAAAGTGAATCATTGTATAATAGGGTCCAGGTAACTTTTCATGTTGTTGTATTTGAAAATTTTATCAATCAATAATCAATATTCTCTAAATTTCATTCTCAATCAACTTGTCGCCGATATTTACCGTGTTTCTTATAACATGATGCATGAGATAGTTTCGAATTTCAGATACAACAACACTCAGAAGTGCCTCGAGATTGCCAGTGTTGGAGGAAGGGAGTACCGACAACTCAGGACACCGATTGAAAGATCTACGATAAGGTTGACTGGATTTTAGAAGTCGAGCCGAAACTTCGCTGTGGAAAAACGACAGATTTCTCTACATTGGAGGAATTACCTCAACGCCTCAATTTGTTTGGTACACTTCTGTCAACAATCTTGTTCATAACATAACTGAAAGTATACCAAAAGATGAGCGTTTCCACTATATCTTGCTCTAGCGTCACTCCTTTTTTTTCAAATTCTGCTCCAACTACTAATCAATTCTTCAACTCCAGTCAAACGTCGATTCTACAAAACTGATCTTCTTCCAATACAGTTTTGAGGACACGAAAGTTTTCCAACATAATTAAATTTACGATTGATATTAGCGATTAGTAGTTTAATTTATTCTATGTTACGTTTCTCGCACAAATCCAGAATTGGGCAACTCTCACATGTCTCGCTCCACTTTCATACAACTCTACTCCAAACCTTGCTTCTCAATTGCATAGTTCCACTCCAATTGTGACAGAAAAAAGTGTCAACTCCGTAATTAACTACTACTCCAAGTTGAATTTGCCTATACCTGACGTCACATGTAGAATAAGAACCAACTACGTTTAAGATTAAACAAGTAATGATTATAAATATGACAACTATCTTTCTAATATTCTTGATTTAGCCATGTAAAAGAAAAAGTCATTTTTACCGTTCCAATGAAAACTTTATTTTTCAATCTATATCTCTTTCCTCATATTATTAGTCGCCAAAACATAACAAAAAAAAACATTTTTCACCATCTTTCTACTAATCTCGCCACAATTTCCAATAATAAAAGAAGGAAGAGAAAATAGAGATAAAAATAACCCCCAAAAAAAAACCTATTTACAAAAGAAATAAAATTTTTATAGACAGATGTGCTGCACGCATCGTATCTTACAAAAGAGAAGAAAAACCATACAGAATAGCGCAGAGAGAAGCACACATGCAAACCTGAGAAGTGAACAAACAAACAAACACATACAGACACAAAAGAAACCGGATCAAAGGTGAGCATTATATACATGTATATATATAAACTACTGTTGTTTTCAAATTATTTCAATGTATTCGAACAAGATCGAGATGTCAACCGAAAAAATTGAAAATGTTTTGTTAATGCGCTTTTTTTATTATTTGAATATTGTTGTGAATGTTTTGGTGAGATTGAGCATGGCAAACTTTCTTCCATAGATGATGTTGGTGATGATGAATATGACAATTGGTGTTGTTGTTGAGTTATATGATTTAATGAATGACTATTTAGAGTTGTTGTTGATGATGTTTTTCTAGTATTATAATCATTTAATGCTGATGATAAATGTTTAAAACAATCAATATCATTTTTGCTATTTAATTCATTACGTGGTGTAGATAATTGACGAAAATCATCACGATTATATATTGTATAAACTGTACATTTGTCAAACATAGATAATAAACGCTCAACTTCTTTTCCAGAACGACGAAGAACAATAACACCTTCAATTGCATATAAATATTCATTCACCTTTAAAAATAAGAAATAAAATTTTTATTTGAATATTTATTTTCTTTTCTTACTCGAATTCCAGACGTAAACGCTGAACCATATGGATCAAGTCTTTCAACATAACATGGACCTTGACCTTGAAGAATCAATCCATAGCCACGACGATCACGTTTAAGCTAAAATGAATAGTTAAATGAATTTCGAATACTGACAATACAATTCAATGATCGATTTCTATATACAAGTACGTCCCAAAAAAAAAATATGTATATATATAAATTCAATTCACTACTGGTTAATGTACATAATAATGTTTATTTAGTATGTAACAGTCTAGACTTAATATTCGATAAAAGACAGATGAAACTGATTAATATAATTACTATATAACGGGTGAAGCAAAATAAATGTCCCTCTCACAAGGAAATCTTCTGAACCGAAAAATTGCTTTTGTTTTATAAGCCAGTGAAGTACAGGTTATCGACCATGCTAGTTCCCAATATGAGTATAAAATATGCTGATAGGCTTTCCAAGACGTAGTTTTCTATAGACCTAGTTTCCTGGAGAGAAAATATTTTTTCGCTAAAATAATTTTCTAATCTCTTTGTGATTGTAGAGGACATCGAGTTGTGTGCGCAAAATTTTTTATTTATTTATTTTTAAACACTAAATGAGGCAACTAGAAGCCTTATAACTTAATGAGAACAAGTACAACTATAGTCTTATACTACCAACATGCGGTTTCTTACAAATTCAGTAACTAAAAAC